CATAGGCTTCAGCAATCTGCCTTGGAGCTCCCAATATTCATGTTTCTGCACTATTTGTGCTCTGTATCATTTCATTATGTCTATATATATATGTACATATATATTTTATTTTTTTTTAACATATATTGGATTTGTCATCCTGCTAGGATTCCTAAAAATATTCTTCCAGAAAAAAAAACACTTCCACTGAACCTGACTGGAATAGGAGAGGTGATGCACTCTTTTCCTTTTCTTGCAGCTTCCTCTCAGTCCAGCAGCAATGCTGTCCATGTAATCTTGGCATCACATTTCACATGAAACTCGTGATGAGCTGAATTTTCAGTAGGACTGACTGAATTTGCAGATGAAACAACTTCTCATTGGAATACAACAGCTTGTTCAAACAGAATGTTTTGGGCTTTGACAACCTCCCAGCTCAACACAGGCAGGGATGTCTTATAAAACTGCTCGTGGGGCTCCTAAACCAACATTCTTTGGCAGGGGGGTGATGGACTTCCTAAGTTTACTGTGACACCTGAGGAGCTGCTTTCTCTCAGTTTGAACAGAAACAGGAATAAAAATCAGTTTTTCTGAAGCTAGTCTTTCTGAATTTCCTTTCCATCTCCAGTTCCCTTGTTTGCATCTCCTGCCATACCTAAACATCCCAACAAAGGTCTTCTGGCAACACAGAAATGTTAAATACCACCTTCTCTGGCCTGGTTACTGAGAGTAGCAAGGGGGCTACAGGGAGAAGAGGGGAAGCACTGAGAAAAGTGATGCAGCAGTAGGCTCTGGAGCCTTCACACAGATTTACCTGGCTGCTGAAACACTGGACTGGCTTGAGAGCTTTTCCCATCTAGGTCCAGCCCAGCTTTCCCTTTGATTTTTATTGTAGGAAAAAGCTATCCAGTGCCAGTCACTCGTGGCAGTACTTAGCATTACCTAACAGTTCACAAGAATGCTCAAGAACATCCCAAAGCAACAGACAGGAAAACCCACATAAATTACTATAATGTGCTAAACTCCCAAAGAAAAGGGCACATCCTCATGCAGAGCCTGTCCTGTCTCTCCTCAAATAATGAAATATGCCGAAAAATCTTCCTACACATTAGAAAAATAAGGAGGAATGAGGATGATATTGGAAGGGAAATGCAAAATGTAAGAGGGTTGGGGAACTGCTTTCCTTGTTTTTACACAATTATTTTCACCTTCTCACAAACATAAGTATACATTCAATTACCCTTGTGTGGCACTCCAGCCCCTAGTAATCATCAAATACTCATTAATTGTTTCTGAAATTAGGAAGCAACTTTCTCAAGGTTTATGTGCTCCCTCTAAGAACTCCACATCCATTCAGTCAAGGCAGAGGCAGGGGCTGGACCACATGCTAGAACATAACATGGTCATAAAATGCACTGCACCTCCTGAAAACCAGGTGCCCCTGGGCCTCAATCCTGCCCACTGTGCTCTGTGTGCAGCCATTAAATAAAGCCCCCAGCATTTTACTGAGCTTGGACAATCACACTGGACAACATAACGGGATCAATGCGGGAGATGAGGATAAAGACCAAACAGCTCTGGAGATGTCCTGGTGAAGACAAGTAAACAACAGGCCTCTATAGAGAAGGGGGATAGAAAACTCAGATCACACTGAAATTTATCAAAGCTTAAAGCTGCTTACAATAATGGCTAAGGGTGAACGATTCGTTTCAAACCAGGCCAAATTGAGGAAAAGAACCTTGATGCACGCACCAATTTTGTTTCTCAAAGTCAAGAATTGCCTAATCAATAGTAGTGCTAAAAGGAGATGGGCACTCTCAGGGGTACCATTACAAAGAATTGCACTGGATTTTAGCCACCTGGCTCCCAATTGCTTTAATAGCTGTCACATGGCTAAAACACAGGCTGAAGCTTTCAAAGTTTACCTCCAGGTCTTCCTGAGCATCCATTGCTGTCAGGTGGCAAATGCAGGGCAGCAGGAGGGACTGCAGGATTTACTCCTGCATTGACCAGTACTAGAACATGCCCAAGAATTTGCACTGCTGCTGCTGCAAGTGTCACTTACTGAGTGAGGAAAGGCAAAGCAGGAGAGGGTAAAAGGGGTGAGTGAAGCTGAAAGAAACTGTACTTAACCCTTCCCCTGTTGATGTGTTGATAGCAGCCTGCACCAGGTACTCACATCGCTGGCCTAATCCAATCAGCCCACCTCTTCCATTAGCTAAAAATAAACTGGCACTTTTTAGGTAATGCTCTGACTGCTCCCCCCCCACTCCAAACTGTGCTCCAAATCTTAATGGAAAGCCTTCAAGGAGTTTAAGGTTTTAAATCAAATAAAGAAGCAGACACAAGGAGAAAAATCCAATCAGAGCAGAAAGGGTTGGATTAGACAGGAACTGTCTTTCTTTCTATTGTCACCAGCACTGAACTTCACTGGAGCAGTGTCTGCAAAGACACAAGGAGGCAGACAAAAGAGAAGAGGAAGGAGAGGTTACTCTCATGCTCCTATTAGACATAATTTTCCAGAAGGAAAGGTGGTGTCCTGTCAACAGGTTCTGGGCTTGACTTGGTTCCTGGGCCTGCTCATGATCACCTGTGGGATGGTGAGCACCCCAATTCCTTTCTCAGACAGCTTCCACAGCTCCAAAGCCTTCCAGGGATGAGGAGGGAAATGGGAGTTGGCCCTGGCAGCAGCTCCCTCTCAAGAGGTCACCTTATGGTGAGGGTCTCATAGAAATAACCAGCAAGATCAGCAATCTTTTGAAAGTGAGGTAATACTCAGTGAATCACAACTTGAGGTGGAAGGGACCTTAAAGATCACTAAAGCAAGTTAGTCAGAGTCTGGTGCAACCTTGGTCACCTCCAGGGATGGGGCATCCACAGCTTCTCTGGGAAAATTGCTCCAGTGCTTCACTGCTTCGATACTAAAGAATTTCTTCCTAATATCTAACCTAGACCTACTCTCTTCCAGTTGGAAGCCATTCCCCCTTGTCCTAGCACTCCCTGCCACTGGAAAAATCCCTTTTTGCCCTTCTTGTAAGCTTCCATTTAAGTACCAGAAGGCTGTTATAAGGTCTCCCCAAACATCGCCATCAAGAACAACTCAAAATGTTTCTAGATTGAAGTTATTGGGCAAAGGGAGCAAAGAAAACGATCAAAATCAAAAATAAAAATCAAGCAACATAAAGAACCCAAAGTAACTGAAAATACCCCCATCAGTACCAGAACAACAGCTGAGTTTGTAACATAGAATGAGTGAAAAAAAGAATCAAAACAAAAGAGTAGGGTTTGTGTACTATCAACTCTCCTGCTACCCATTTAGAAGACTGAACATCTAAAGTTTAGAAGGTTAATGGTTAGATACTGGTTAGGAGAGAAGAAAGGGAATGACAAAATATTTCCCAAAAATACTAGGTAACTGTTATGGGCATCCAAAAGCTAGGAATTATACATATATATATATGAGTTTGAATATATTTCATGGTATAGTCCCTTTCCATCAACCCCTACATATATTAGATGTACTTTAGAACAATTATTTTGAAAAAAAAGAACAACAAAAACTCAATGTCCTGAGCCAAAGCAAACACTGGAAGAAACTGAGAGCACTGGGACTCCTATTGAAATAAAGGACAGAAATCTGATAAAGTGATTTGACCTGCAGGTCTGATCCAGAACCCATTAATTTTATAAACTTTGAATCCAACTACAAGAGTAGGGTCACGAGCCCAAGAGCATTGGTCAGTGCTGCTGTTATGCTGGCTTTTGCAGTATCTTTCTTCCTAGACATTAGAGCCAAACCACATCGGTTCCCCTTAGCTGAGCTGGATTGGCACTTTGGAAATCCCAGTGCACAGGAAATGTTTAAATCCTCACATTTGAGGGGTAAGAGCAGCATAGAGCTCAGCTGCTGGCTAAATATGGCTGAAGAAAAATGAAGGTAGTAGAACTGGCAGGAAAAGAAGAAACAATGAGTGATAAAATGAAAAGAGAAACAAAACAACAAAAAAAAGGTACATCAAGGAAGGGAGAATAGGAAAGACTATGGGAAATTGGGGAGGGCAGGAACTAAATTAATCATAACCAAGATAGAATTGGGGAAATGGAGACACTGAGAACACAGGAGAGCACTTGAACTCACAAAGTAAAAACAAGCAAGAGGTATATTGGAGGCAACAGAAGGAAATAGTGAGGCAGTGAGAGAGAGAAAGAAAAGGAAGGGGGAAAGGTGTGAGAAGCTGAAAATGGCAAGATGTAGGAGAGAAAATGGGAGAGAGAAAAAGGGAGGGAAAGAGAAGGAATTGTACAGGCAAAGGACCAGAAAGAGGAGAACAATCCTAGGGAGCCTGCTGTGGTGGGTCGCAGAGGAGTTCACAAGCCCATGCACTCCAACTATTTCTTTTTGATTCTGTGTCATTGTCAGGCTTCAGACTGCAGCTGCAAATTGTTTGTCTGGCAGTTCTGGTAGGTTTGATTCAATAACTCCTGTAAGAGGGCAGGCAGGATATCAATGCTGCTTTATTGCCTTTTTCTCTGCCTACAATAGCAATCCTCCAGTTATACAGTATTATAAAGTGCCATCACTGGGGGTTGTATCTCAGCATAGTCACATCTCATCTTCCTGGGCTATAATAAGCCGGGAAAGGTAGAAGTCTGAAACTACATGAGCTTTGTGAAAGGATTAACATTGAGGCCTAAAGACTGGCACCAGGGACAGGCACTGAGCAAACAGAACCTCACCTCGCAAGGACCACAAGGGGAGCTGGGGACATCCTGCTGGGTCAGCTCCACCAAAACACTCTTGGTAATCTGGGCCAAGCCTCACTCCAGCCACTGGTGGACAAAGCATTAACACTCCAGAAAGCTGTAACCACAGCTGGGGAACAGAAAATAGCACTGTGGGCCTGGCAGTTGGGTCACTTCTCACGCCTCTCTCCACATCCTTGGGATATGAGCTCTTTAAAAACAACTGTGCAGCGACATTTAACATCAGGTTAGACTGACTGACATGGACCTACCATTTTTCCTCCTGGAAATTCGTTTCTTCAGGCTCTGGGGGGGTGTACCTCTGCAGTCTGACACAGAGAAATTCCTCCAGCCTTGAGTGTTCATGACCTGTCAATAAAAAGAGGCTTTCAGTTACACAATGTCATCACACAGTACCTTTTACAAACACTAAATTCAGGTTAAAAATGTCACAGCAAAACAGGAAAACCACCACACAGAAAACTGCCCGTGAGGCATTTTATTTGTATGTCTCAAAAACAAAAACAAACAAAAAACCAGAAAAATTCCTGATACATTGTCCTGGTTAAAGCCACAGAAATCAGAATAAAACTTTTCATTCAGGCCTGGTCATTACAAATATTGGGAGCACCTGGAAAGAAAGAGACCAATTTAATCTGCTTAAACTTTGCCTCTCATATACACACATATAAAAATCCCTGTTTCATTGAAAAAATCATAGATGGATGTCTTTAAGACTGTGTCTAGAAATCATTGTGATTTTACACTGCAGTTTATTCCATATATTTCCATCCTTTTGAGTCACACTGTTCAGCCTCCTACTTATTCTTAATAGATTAATTTGCAATTGCTCCCTCGACATTTCAGCCTTTCATGATGGAGAGCAATTCCTCTCATTTCACTCATCAAGGCTCCATATAATAATGAAAGTTCCCATAGGTCACCTCTGTCATGCCTTATTTCCTTAACCCCTTTAGCCTTCCACCCTGATAAGCGTTCTTAAACCCAGAGCTGTCTGGGTTAAGGCAAAAAATAAAATTTCTCCTGCAAGTGATTCTGTATTGCACCAGTTTTATAGAAAATGTGACTATAACCATGTGATTTCAATTCTCCAACTCCTTTACATTGTCATAATATCCTATTTGTTTTTTCCAAGCAGTTATATACACATGAAAGTGCTGAGATTCTTCTCTAATAACCCCTTTTTTCCTTGGTACACTGAATAATAAGAATTCTGCTGTGGTTCACTAGCTCTAGACCTACTGTTATAGCCATAACAGATCTTATAAAAGATCCAAATCATCCTCATCGGGGTGAGAATTGCATCTAACTTGTTTGTTTAATCTTTGAATTAGGCAGATCAATCAATGTCTACTATTTTACTTACAATATTTCAGAATAAAACTGATAGGCAATATTCTGAGCTGCCATACATTGGCATGTCCCTACCATCACTCCACTGGTCCAGCTCCACACACTAAATAAATGTTTCAGAGAAAAACCCTGGAGGGCACGCCGCCAGTTTGAATTTTCCAGTTGCTCCTTATGACCAATATCAGTTTTACAAGTTGTGGCCCTGCTCTGTGATTTACATGGATGTAGGGGAAAGCTGTGACACAGCCTGCAGGCAAACAAACAGGCTCTGGGTGCAAGTGAGGGGTAGCTGGAAGTGTCCAAAAGTAGCCCTGTCCTCCCAAGAAATCCATATCAAACCAACGAACCATTTTATTTAAAGAATGATTTTACATTGCATCGTATTCCGAGTTGTCTCTTCTTTTTGTGCAACATGTCCCTTCCATGGGAGACAAAATATTTCTGACCAGCAACGTGGTGCTAAATAAAACAGCTGCCATTCCCACACACAACTTTGAGGGCTGTGCATCTTTAGGGGGAGGATACAACTGTTAGCTCAAAGCAATTCAGTGCTGATTGAGTTGGGGATAATTTTCTGGCAACTAAGGATGGAATTGAGACCAAAAAATAATTTCAAATAGCAGTGGAGGAGTCACAGGATAGCAACACCTCCCAGTCTCTAGAGACCTAGAATTGATTTGAACTGGTCTACCACTTAAATGGAGAAAAGCTATTATCCCACCACTAATCTCTTGAGCCATTCAGTCCCACTTGAAGCAATTTTTTTCTTCAATAAGCTATTTTACATATTTCACTTAGTCCCCAGTCTATGGGAGAAGCTTATCACATGATTTGTTTAAAAAGATAAATACCTCTCCCCTCTGCATTTCTGTTTATTCTGGGGTTGCTTACATGACAGAACTATTAAACATGTTCCTCCTCTTCTCTCCTTATGGAGCCCTGCTTTTCTTCCTACCATTCCCAAAATAAGACAAACTTCTTGTTAGTTTTTGGAAGAAGACCCAGCCTAGAAGCATGTGCTCCAGCTTTTTTTCCACATAAATGTAAATTTATTGCCCTCAACCATCATAGCAGCCATCAGGACAATGCTGATACCTACTCCATACTCAAGAAGTGAAAAATCCAGGATCTGCAGTGCAAAAACAGAGAATTGCTGAAGATACATTTTGCAAAAGCAATCTTAATTTTTTTTGTTGCATTCATGGGCGAAAGGCGGATGCAGCGCCCATGAGTGTGTAAAGATGCTGTAATTATTAAGAATGTCCTAAAAATGAGGTCGTTGGTGCCTGAAAACCTGGGAGGCCAGAGCTGCAATTTGGTAGTAGGGCCACAGTGGCCCAGCAGGAGAATTCTTTGTGATGAGAAATCAAACACACGTTCATGTTCAAACCTCTCACTTTCTCCCACTGTTTTCCTGTTATTTTGTGCGCTGGAGGGAGCCTGGTTTGTCTACCTGATGCTGTCTCTTCGTTAAGCTTTTCCTCTGTAGTTTCTCCCAGCACCAAATTTACTCAGCCCTCCTCCATCCAGAATCCTCCATCACTCCCAGAATTAGAATCCGTGCCTTTGAAAAACCTGGGCTTCCTTCATTTCCAGGCAGCTCATTTCAGCTCCTGCTCACCCCACAGGTTACACTGCTGGAGCAGCACGACTTTGATACTGCTCCTCTGGCAGCAATTAGAATCAAATCAGCACCAGGCTGTTTATAAAAAGGGATGTTGCTGTAATGACACTATCAATTCTTCCAAACATCCCAGCTATTTATCAAGCGATTAAAGTAGAGTAACTTACTCCAGGTTTACTAGCCTATTTTCCATTGGAACTTAAAAGGTTTTACTGCCTCAAGTATGCCACTTGGACTGCTAATAATTTCAATTTTATTACATTATCATATTTTTTAGATTTATTTCTAGCTTTTGCATAAGATTCAAATTGTTACCCAGTTTATAAAATAATGTGAATTTATCTTGGTCAAAAATCACATTAGGATAATTATCTTGCCCTTTTGGCAGATAATTTTGTTTGTAATATATAGAAAATGCTTATTTTTTGTCTTCCTAGCCCCTAATTCTTGCAGGAGAGGCTATTTTTTTCCTGACACAGGCAACTCCATCTCCCTCTCACTGTCAAGAGCTGCCAGGTCACCTCCCTTTTTCCCCTCTCCATTAGGGGGAAACCAAACAGAAGGTTTGGCTCCTTGTCTTCCACCTCCCCAAGGCAGAAGGATGCAGATAACACAGTAACCTGCCAAATTAAAGACTATTTAGTCAGATAATAAATACTTGCTAAAACTCCCAAAGTATCGGAAAGATGCTGCTTGTCCAGTATCAGAAGAAAGTTGCAGCAGCTAAGGCTGGATTAAGCAAATCACACCTGACTGTCTGGCCAGGCCTCTGACCCTGGAATGTCTGAAAAGCCACCTATGGTCTCCATCGTCAGCACTTGGATTAATTACATTCAGATTTTTCAATTTAGAGGACATTTTAATACTTAAAAAGCACAAATTCACAATTAGAAGAGACCTCTACAAATTTTTGGGTTTTATTTGGGATTTTGGCTTGGTGGGTTTTTTGGGGGGTTTTTTTGGGGTTTTTTTTTGCTGTATTTTTGCTGTATTTGCTGGGTTTTTTTTTTATTTTGTTTGTTTGGGGGGGCATTGGAGATTTTTTATGAAAAATACTCAAAATACCACTTATTTAGGAGAAAAAAAAAAAAGCTCCAGGAAATACTAAGTGTCAAATTTCATTTAGAATGCCTGGGGTTTCCTTTGTACCTATACAGCATTACCATAAAATAAGAATTTATACTGACAAGTTTTAAGTTGACATAAGAATTAGTAAAATAAAATAGCTCCTTCTGCTTTATTAAGGACATATGCTGCCTAGTAGTGATGGAAACAGCTCTTTTACAAAATAAAATACATGGCATTCTGATGTAGAAAAAGGATAGCCATACCCTGAGTGTTGAATAAGTTAAAGGAGGATTTTCCAATACTTCTAATATGCTTAATTCTTATATTCTAATTCTAAATTTCAGTTATTCTAGTTCTATCAAGCACTCATGATAGAAGTACCAATAAACAGATGGTGGGTAAGCAAAAGGTTTTGAGGTAGAATGTTGAAATATGAATTTTGTTGAGCAAAATATATTATACAGCCGAGAAGATTTACAAAAGCAATTCTCTCCTTGTGTTTTTCCCTATTTCTTGTCTAAGCACCCAGGAAGCTACAGGGTGTATCCTGTATTTCTTTTCTGCTTTAATGTAGGCAGAGAAAAAGAAGCAATCCAAAATTGGACAACACCTAATTCCCCAAGCAGAGATGAAACAAACTTTGCTTTAAACATTTGGTCCTCACTCCAATTTGGTATTAAAGTGAAGATCAACTTACACATTTGTTTCTGACTATGATACTGCAGAATGTTTACAGCCATAACATCATGCATCTCTGGGGAGAAAAGATCTATCTTTGTCCTTCTGTTGCTGAGATCTCAGGTGACATTAAATCCCCACTGTGCCACTGTCCATGGCCTGGGAGCTGACAACACGGGGACAAAACACATAGGGCAGCATCCAGGCACGAGGGAAGCAGCTCAGGCTCCCTGCAGAGAGAACAGGCTCAGTTCTGTGGATTTCAGTGGAGTCACAGGGAAATTGCACCAACAATTTGTAGAAATCACTAACCAGACGGGTTGGCAAAAAAAGTTAGAGTGCTTTGCCTACTCCATATCTCTGAACATTTTTTTCTCTTGTAATGACACAGTGAAGAAGCTGATGATCATAAATATGGAGTGTATCACCCTGTCCTTTAATTCTCTCCTTATTACTTTTGCAACATGATACATGCATCTCAAATAAATTAAACATGTGACATATAAATTCAGTTCATGCTTTTTGGGGGTTATCAAAATCCTGAAAAACCAAAATGCTGAAAATCAGTTGTCAAAACGTTCTGGGATGAAGTAGTTAAGCTGTCATCAACAGCTTAAACACTGTT